ATTGTAATGACGTTTCTGTTGTACTCGGCTTGTGGCTTCCTATTTGTATAATAGATGCAGACTTGATATACATGTGTTGTGGGTGTAAGGAAATACACTAAGTTTAGAGCACTAAGGTTGCAGTGAAATAATGAGCAGAGATAGGCTAAGAGCAATAAGGTTTTGATATTTATGTGAAGATTAGTGATCAGAGATTTTGGCAAACTGCTAAAAAAAATTCACCTATTTTATGGAAAATATAGAATATGTAAACAATTATCTTTAAATTAAAGCCCGGTTAAAGCGGTAGTAAACCGCGTATAATAAAGCTTACCTGTAGGTAAATGAATATCTCCTAAACGTGCACCATTTAGGCGATATTCAGATGTGACATCATCGTGGCTCAGCCAGTCAGATGGCTGGAGCTCGCAAACCTTAAAGGAAGACTAGGTGAAGATGGAAGTCTTTACAGCGGTGATGCATACTAGCACATTATGCTATTGCCTTGCAGGGAGTGGTTTTTTTTTTTAGGGGTTTACTACCACTTTAAACTAGGGATGTACTGAAATTTCGGTGGCCAAAACGTTTCGGCCGAAAACATCCTTTTCGACCGTTGGCCGAAATGAAAAAAGCACCGATGCAGGTGCCAAAAAAAACCCTGCCCCTCACCATTGCCACCACTCGGTAGTTCTCAGCCATACCTGAGAAACCATCGATCCCGGCGCTGGGCATAGAGATGAGTGAAGGAAAAATGGCCGCCGCTCATCTCTTAGAGGACCGAAGAGATGTCACTTCCCGTTCTGGCCATTTTATTTTTTTTTAAAGCACTAGATCAATGCTGTTTTTTTGATCCAATGCTTTACATTGTAGAGGAGAGATATGGGGTCTTATTGATCCCATATCTCTCCATAAAGAGTACCTGTCACTAATTATTTGTGTCACAAGGAATGCATGCATTGCAAAAAATGTCAGAGCAAGAGCAATAATTCTCGCACTAGACCTCCTCTGTAACTTTACACTGCTAACCTGTAGAAATTTTTAAAGCATCACCCATGGAGATTGTTAAGTATCGCAGTTTCACGCCATTCCACAAGCATGTGCAATTTTAAAGCGTGTTGGGTATCTACAGTTGTGGCCAAAATTATTCAACCCCCAATGCTGTAAAGGGGTTTAGGGACTATAGTGTACATTTGGAATTGTATTCAGAATCAAATCCTACAAGGACGTTGTAACTACCCAAATGCAACTAAAATGACATCAATTGTTTATGTAATACAGTAGTAAATGGTTCTTATGTGGTTTCTTTCATTGCCACAATTATTCAACCCCTTAAAGACTACCACTCTGAAGAACAGAGGTTCATACAGGTGCTTTCCATCAGGTATTGAAAACACCTGTGGATGTCACCGAGCAGCAATCAAGCATAATAAGCACCAATTAGGCAGCTTTAAAATGACTGTGATACTCAGCTCCTTCTAGACATTTACTGGTGTGGTTACAAACATGGTGAAGGCAAGAGAATGGTCCAGGAAGACAAGAGAAGAGGTGATTTCTCTTCACAGGAAGGGCAATGGCTATAAGAAGATTGCAAAGATGTTAAACATACCAAGAGACACCTTAGGAAGCATCATTCGCAAATTCAAGGCAAAGGGCACTGTTGAAACGCTACCTGGTCGTGGCAGAAAGAAGATGCTGACTTCGACTGCTGTGCGCTACCTGAAGCGTAGAGTGGAGAGAAGTCCCCGTGTGACTGCTGAGGAACTGAGAAAAGATTTGTCAGATGTGGGTACAGAAGTTTCAGCCCAGACAATAAGACGCACACTGCGTAATGAAGGCCTCCGTGCCAGAACTCCCAGGCGTACCCCCTTGCTGTCTCCAAAGAATAAGAAGAGTCGACTGCAGTATGCCAAAAGCCATGTGGACAAACCACAAAAGTTGTGGGATAGTGTTCTGTGGACTGATGAAACAAAATTAGAACTGTTTGGGCCCATGGATCAACGCTATGTTTGGAGGAGGAAGAACAAGGCCTATGATGAAAAGAACACTTGCCTACTGTGAAGCATGGTGGAGGGTCAATCATGCTTTGGGGCTGTTTTGCTTCTGCAGGTACAGGGAAGCTTCAGCGTGTGCAAGGTACCATGAATTCTCTTCAGTACCAGGAGATATTGGATGGAAACGTGATGCAGTCCGTCACACACCTGAGGCTTGGGAGACGTTGGACCTTTCAACAGGACAATGATCCCAAGCATACCTCCAAGTCCACTAGAGCATGGTTGCAGAGGAAAGGCTGGAACATTTTGGAGTGGCCATCGCAGTCACCAGACTTAAATCCGATTGAGAACCTCTGGTGGGACTTAAAGAAAGCAGTTGCAGTGCGCAAGCCTAAGAATGTGACTGAACTGGAGGCCTTTGCCCATGAAGAATGGGCGAAGATACCCGTAGATCGCTGCAAGACACTTGTGTCAAGCTATGCTTCACGTTTAAAAGCTGTTATAACTGTAAAAGGATGCTGTACTAAGTACTAAGATTGAATGTCACTTGGGGGTTGAATAAAACTGATAATGCTGTGAGCACAGAAAAGACATTTGTGGTTATTTCATTATAACTGTTATGTTATATTTGTCTGACCTACAAGTGCCTCTTTAATGTAAATGTAAGCAAGATGACTGAATGATCAAAAGCAATGTCAAACTGGCCAAAACACTCAATTTCAGTGGGGGTTGAATAATTTTGGCCACAACTGTATTTACTCGCGTAACATCCTCATTCAAATTTTACAAAAAAATTGGGGTATATATTGTTTCTTTTTTTTTTTTTTTTTTTAATCAGTGTATTTTTTTCTAAAAAATATATATTAACTTTTAAAAACTGTGCATTTTGGTTTCAGTTTTCGGCCAAGTGCATTTTGAATTTTCATTTCGGTGCACCACTACTTTAAACATTTAGTTTAATTCAACTAAATACATTCCAGGTGCATCAAATCAAAAGTTCTTCAATGTCCTACATATGCCTGCCCCTGCTGCAGAGTGGTAACCCTGCTTTCAGTGGTCTCATTGTAGAGGTCTGACACACTGGGGGCCAGGGGCCGGACTGACAACTCAAGGGGCCCCTGTGTCCTTGCCCAAACTCAAAAAAGCCTATGAAAAAGGTACCGGGCGCATCTCATGGGGCCCCCTACTGACCCCGGGCCCTTGGGCAGTGCCTGAGTTTTTAAATGGTCAGTTCGCCCCTGCTGGGGGCTATTTACTAAGACTGGAGCATGCAAAACATGGTGCAACTCTGAATAGGAAGCAATCAGCTTCCAGATTTTGTCAAAGCTTAACTGAACAAGCTGAAGTTAGAAGCAGATTTGCTACCATGCACAGCTGCACAGGTTTTTTGAAAATCTCCCCTACACTTTACGGAGTTAAGCTGGGCATACACTAGTAGAATTTTGTTCAACATGTTTTTGTGTAAGAATGTTGAAAGAATGTTTGTTTGCCTTTCTATTTTTTTAGTGAGATCAAATCAATGTTCGTTTTTGACTGCCGTTACAAGAAAGGAGCAGGATGGAAATGTTTTCTTGAATGTATGTCTGTCTTTCTAACAGTGTTTGTATAGTTTGTTTTACAAAATCCATTGATTCCAAAACTGAATGTTAAAAACAAACAAAATCTTGAATGACTTTGGAACAACATTAAAATGAGAACGTTCATAAAAATGTTTGTACAAATTTGAATTCAAAATGTAACTAGTGTACACCCATCTTTAGAACCATAGCTCTGCAATCAGCAAAGTTCGTGCACCCCGCTGACTGGAGTGCTCTGGCTCCGGGAAGAGCGTGCCAGATTCTGCAAAGAGATCACTGTTTTCACATGAAGAACAAGGTTTCTGCCATGCAGCAAGCTATTATAAGACACAGAGAATTTCCAGCTTGCTGATAAATATTTGTGCAGTTGGTGTTAATGGTAACTGCCGCAAGCCATACAATCTAAGTGATCTATGGCTACCTTAAAGTGGTATTAAACCCATAAAACAAAAATGTATTAACCCTTTTGCTGCCAGACATTTTACAGATTGTACAGATGTGAGAGTGGGGGGTTTTACAAATACTCCCTGTGGCTGAAGCCACCAGGGGTGTGTGTATACCTGACAAACCGACAGCCGGCTGTCAAATGGAGGCAATCCAGTAACTGCACAGCTGCTGGACTGCTTCCAAACGCCCCCAGTAACAGCTGCCCCCTCCAACCTCCCCACCATGTATCCCAGGCTCCATGCGCCCATCTATATTCCCGGGACCAGCACAGCAGGTGCCACCGGGTGAAGTGGAGGGTGTCTCCCCTTCTTCTTGATGACCCTGAAGTGACACATAAAATGTCACTCCTGGGTCTCCCTTTCACTTTCCCCAGCCTGTCTAGCTGGGGCAGAAGCTGATGGAATGCAATCTGCATTCTATTAGCTTTATTGGAGGATAGTCGAGACATCAGGGGTTCCCCCCCCCCCCCATTATCAGTATTTGTAGCCTCCCCAAGCGGTGTGATTATGTCAGTATTTCTGTGCTCAAAGCGGTAAATTTTTTTGCATGGAAATATGTCGTTTTTTTATTGTAGGTCTGTAATTTTTAGGAATAACTCACTGGAATCTGTCCGAACAAGAGTCTAGTAAACATCCCAGGTATGTTAAAATTTGAAACAGGAAATCATAAATTATAATTTAATAAATAATCATAAAAAAATAATATAATAATAATAAATTTAATTCAATAATATAATCAAACCAAACACACTGAAATTTGAAATATAGAACCAAGTTCGCACATCACTGAGCAAAGTTGCAAAATCATTTTCAGTGTCTGATGACGAATTTCCCCACAAATCATTATCACTCAATTCTGCAAGTAGTTCTAATTTACTATCGCTGTTCTCTAACTGGTCTAAAACTGCTTTTGACCTAAAGGGGCGCTTTTTGGACATTTCTCAGTTTCAAGGCAGAAAGAACAGTAAAAATTTAGTCAGGGCACAGGACAAAGCAGTAGGGACAAAATGTATGTGAAATGGTTTGATACAGTAATGTTTTACTATGTGATTTTAGTGTATTGAGTGAATGTCACCTTTTGACATTTTTAAATTTCCCACCAGTTCTGTCCCCATACGTCCCGGCGCTCGCAGGGGACGGAACCCGGAAGACAGATGCCAGCATCGGCCAGAGGACATTGCCGGGGACGCTGCAGGGGGGACATCGCGAGAGCGTAGGACAAGGTAAGTGAAGAAGAGATCCTGGAGCAACGCTGCAGGGTATTCCCGAGTGTAGATCGGGGTTACCGCTTGTGGTGCTGAAACTTTACCCCAAGCTACACTCGGGAATACCTCCAGGGAGGTTAAAGAGGCAATTATTTACTCCGGGAGCAATGGTGGATGGAGGTATCCAACCCACTGCAAGACTCCCCGCTGTCAGAATACACAGAGTACCGCTACAGCCATTGAGTGGCTTTCACCGAACAGGACGGTTGGCAGAAGTCGATCGGTAGATGGACTTTCGTTCAACTATGTTCAACTACAGTGGCCACACATGGATTGAAATTCAACCGGTCCTTGCTGCACTGGCCAAATTTCAGTCCATCTATGGCAACATTAAAGCGGAACTAAAGTTCTGCTATGATACACTGTGAGCAGGCAGGCACTTTACTGCAAAATGTCTTGCAATATGTCTCTTCTGCAATAAAATATACCTACCTGCCTGCTCACAGTGATCCCTGGTCTGTAAAATGAGCTGCGCATGTGCTGGACCATCCCTATGTCTTAGAATGTCCAGCTCCTGCGCGTACATAGGAATGATGTCATCCTGCGCCGGCCAATGAAGATAGCCAAAATGCAGGAGCACCAGTGAGGGAACGTTAGGAAGGTGAGTATCCTCCCTTTAGTTCCCTTTTTAGACTGGAAGTATGTTACTGGCTGAATCATCAGGTGAAATAAAGGGAAAAGAGAAAGGGCTGTAAGCAGAGAGGCACAAGAAAAACTTTGGTCAGAAGAGAGACATTGCTGGACTCAATGGACTATTGATGTTTGTATTAATATACAGGGAAGTGGAAGTTCAGTCAAACAATAACTATACTTACGTCTACTCTCACACCCCCATTCTTCATCTATTCCAATTCTGTAAAGGAAAGATCTATATACTTACCTGTTTTGAGGGTGCTCTGGTTTTGTCACGGTTGCAGGACTGATCGAAGCACCAACTTCAGTGATGAGGAAATAATGCTGATAATGGCAGCAGAGCATGGGAAATTATGCCACTCATAGGCTTACTAGGGGACATCCATTGTCGGTTGGCCTCTCCTCTTAATAGGGTTGAGTTATAAGTTGTGATGTCCATTCCGCCGTCACTTCTGGTGTGTGGAATGCATGTCGGAAGTAGGATACAGCTGGGCGCCATCTTGGAAGCAGTGGTAATATGTCTTGTTTGAAATACTGGCAAGATTTTACTACATGAGTGCGTGCTTGGGGGAATACTGCTTTTTTTTTATAAAAATACTGCAGAATTGTACTCTTTTTGTTGCCATGATTGATTTGAGGTGCATGGATTAAGGGAGAAAATGGGAACAAAGAGGGGATTGTCTGGAAGATCTGAGAAGTGGGAAGGCTGGAAGACCAATTGAAGGAAAGATACCCAGATGCCTGTATAAACCCATATAGTGCTATAAGGGTCATATACTGTATGTCTGGTGAGTGAATAAATGTGGTGGATGCACACACAGCATGTGGTGTTGTTAAAAATTAGTGGAGTGACACAGGTCTTTGGTTTTGTTAACAAGAGGAAGAGGAGTCTACCTCTTGTTAAAACCTGAAAACAGAGCACACTGTCCCAAGGTCTAATGAAGATTTGGAAGGGTCATAAGAAAGTTAGTGGGAATTAAAAGGACATTGTCTACAAATAGTTGATTTTATAGTAAAGGCCAGCATTAGAGATCCAAATGATGTACTGATTGACCCTGTTCGCAATAGCTAAGAGATCTATAGACAGGGTAAGAAGGTTAGGAGACAAGGGACATCTCTGCCATGTACCTCGAAATAAACCAAATGTTTGGGAGTGATACGCTGAGATTATAACAGAAGGGGTGAAGTCTAAGGATATTGATGACAATACTGAATCAATGAAGTCCTATCTTTCTAGGAAATAGCACAAATAATCTTGGGATTATGCATTAATGCAGGAAGTGATTGTTTAAATTAATTGTACATTTTGTATGTGACAATTCTTATTTGTTGCTTACATGAACTTTAAGAAAATATGCTGGTGAATGACTCTTGCAATAATTAAAATGTAAGTTCAAAGTAAAAATTAAATTATGCTGTACATCTATGCAATACAATACATGCATATTTCCACCTGTTTTATTCCTTTAAAACGCTGCAAGTACAGAAATATACCTGCTAATCCTGTCATAAATCCAGTTAGCTGCTACCGTCCCATCTAGTAAATCTTGTTAGCTGGTCAGTGGTTGCAATCACACTGCCTTTTACCAAAGCATATTGACCACCCTAAAAAGGGACAGTCAAACAATGCTGTATAAAGCCAAAAGGAACTTCTCTCCCAAATCTCACTTTTTAGGTTTACAGATCAATTTAACCAGGTGGACAGGGTTACTCTCAAAAGATGTCAATCAAAGGAGAGAAAAGCCATCCCGTGAACCAGATAACTATTTATTCAAAGTAATGCACTTACATATAAAAGATATTAAAACCAGCATATTACCATCTTGTTGTTTCCAGCGAACAAGATGGCTGCTGCATCCTGGTACACGATGACGTAACAGGCTCCGCCCAGCTTGTTTAATCATCTATGACATCATCAGGGGCGTGGCCTGCGTCAAGACACTGTGCTGTATATATAGGGAGAGGTGCGCACCTCCCACTCAATTCAGCTGTGCTCCTGGAAACAGAAGAAGCGTTCCAAATACCAGAAGGGCACTCCAAAGATAGAACTGTGCTCCAACAACTGGAAATGCACTCCACAGGCAAAAAAATATGAGAATCCAAAAGTACTTAAACTATTAATTGCCTAAATCCTGAAAATAGAGCACCAAAAGCCACAAATAAATTAAAAGTATAAAGGACTAGTGGCCATGTTCTAATAGGTATACTTAACATACATGTACAACATTTGGTTGTGGACAACATCTTGTGGTTATTAACAAAAATACATACAATTCATAAAAAACTAAAAATATGTACACAGCAATAAAAAAATAAACATTTAATAATACAAATAATAAATACCACACCTGAGTTTAAACCAGTTATGAGAAATTTAGCAGGACGATCATATTAACTAATGGCTACCTCTCCAATTACTAGTGAATCTATCAATAGCCATACACAAAGTGTTATGGTCACTGCCCAGTTCTCCCCATGATCTACCAAATACCTAAATGTTTTTGATATGCGTGTGTGTGTGTGTGGGAGGGGGGTTCTGTAATCCAGCAGGAGAGAATTAAGTCAGGGTTTACTAAACTACCTAGGATTTCAGGGCAGCAGAGACACTGTTGTCAAAGCAAACAAGTTTTGGGAGCTGAACCAGGATTTTTTGGAAGATGAATTATAGTTTCCATACACTTTGAAGGTATTACAAAGAGTTAAAAAAAAAAAAAAATCAGAGCAGATCTTCCATGGTTTACCAATATAACCATTATGCACTACCTAATAGAAGTAGCACAGAGTGAAACTAAAAAATCTTGATATAATGCAACACTCTTGTCACATGTATGTGCACCTCCAATGTAACCAACCTACAGTTTACTTTCTCACAACCTTCAAGAAAAATTACCTAGAGAAACATAACCTCTTTGATCTTATCTTAACAGGATAAAGTACCAGACAAATTCCTTCACGTGTGTCTTCAGTGATACATCATGAGTTAACAAAGCTGGCTGTAATTGCCATAAAGCACAAGTTGGGACTAGTTTGTAGTTGATATTGCAATTACCGTAATATAAAAAGTACAGCAAGGCTGATTAAAAAAAACTGCAGGAAACAGAAGTAAGAAGAGAGAACTAAGATGATAGAACAATAAAATGCATTTACTGTATATTGGTTCTGCCATGAAGATCCTGTTTTTTACCTCTATATTTCATATACAGCATTAAGCTTTTTATACTGAACGTCAAGGGGGGTGGCTAAAAAATCTCAGCGGCATATTTAAGGAGAACATGGCATTTTTTAAGTCTGTATGCATTTTTGTAATTGGAACCATCCACCACCACCAAAAACACAAAAAGCCACACTTAAAATCTAGTAAAAGCGGAGTTCCAGTTGAAAATTTTTTTTTTTTAAAAAATGAATGTTTGGCCAACTTTCTAGGGAAAATTGAGAGGTATGAGGGGTGAAGTTACATGTAATATCAGCTGTCTATCTCTCCTAATCTACTAATTAGTTAGGAATGCGATGTTCACTGAAGGCAACCTCTGCTTTTGCTTTTTTTTTTTATATGTTCAGTTTACAAGTTACCCAAGTTTACAGAAATGTTACTCTAAGAATCAAAGTGGAATTCCAACTTACATCTAACTAGCCTTAAAACTGTCCCTATCCCCTCCTAACATCTATATTAACTAACCTGTGTAAGAAAGATGTATATACTTACCTATTTTTTCGACTGTTCCGGTCCAGTCACATGATCTGGCTCCCCTGTGTCAGCCAGCATTGCTTCAGGGGAGAAGAGAGAGCGCTGACAACAAATGAACCATTGAAGCCTATGGGTGACATTAGTGCTCCAGACTTTACTAGCCATTGTCAGAGTGCTTCTCCTCTCCTCTGCAGCCGCTTTTGGCTTACATGGGAGATCATGTGACCCAAATGGAGTGGGCTGAGAATAGGTAGGTATATACATCTTTTTTAAGTAGATTAGTTAGCATAGGTGTTGAGAGAGGACAGTTCTAAGGTTAGTTAGGCGTATGCTGGAATTATGTTAAAACCTAACTCCTGGAAAAGCAAATATTGCCTAGATACAAGAAGTATATGTATTTTTACTTGAATCTTGGTGTGATTTGTGCTTTTCTTCTACATCTGTGGACCAATTCAGTGTAAAAACGTGCCTTTGTGCAGAAGCTTGTGTACTAAGATCAGTCACTGCTGCTCTCTCTCTCTTTGTATAGGGTGACTAGTCTTTTATCCACCCCCCTTCCTGTGGTTTTCAGCAGGCAGTCTGTAGTGGGTGTGAGTCTCGGACCCAGAACAAGTAAACAGATTAGGAAATTCAGAGAAAAGTAAAAAAATATGTATTTAAATGCTTCTGAAGTACATTTCAGCAATGTAAGCTTCTCTTCATAATGACAGGTTCCAGTTAAAGACCTGAACTTGGAACCTGGAAACTAGTCATCAATATTAC